TAACGTATGGCTGATAATGCTAAGGAATCCCGCGGGACAAGCAGCTCTGTATAATGCAAGACAAATGTTCCGGCAAGCATCACTATCAATTTCGAAAACCCATTTTTGATTTGAAGAAGCATAATAAAACTTTAAAATAATTCCTAGTAGTTAAGGGCCCAAGGTTATTGTTTTCACGCCCAAGAGAGCTAATTGGTTACCGTTCAGAAGAGGTTTTAGATTCAAATTTCTTTTCTTTTTTTTTCATTTTTTTAATTTTACCTCTTTTTTTTTTTTTCTTTGGTTGATAAAGGAATCTGCAGTCGTTACTCTAGAGTACGCGCCGGATAATTCCACCATTTATTTACAAGAAAAAAAGGAATTTTTAAAGATAGGTCACTGTATTCAAAAAGGTGAACACTTGTTCACCATTTTTTAAAGAAATGGTTGCATGTCAAGACGAAACCCTTTACCACGTAGTCTTACATTAATAACTAGACACTCTTGCCGTTCATGATTTTGATGAGCTTTATGGACTTGGAAGGATCTTTATGAACCGAAGACACAAGATGTTACTTACTCAATCAGCCAAAAGCAAACCCCAAGAAGAAACAAAAGATGGGGGTACTGGTTGCTGCTGGACGTTCTATCCAAGAAGTACGACTAAGAGTTAATATTGCTATTTTGCTGCGTTCCAAGCCAAATATTGAAAGCATCAAGCATATGAAAATATAAGAAAATTTGCAGCAGCAAAAGGCAGTTCAATCTTCCATTTTTTTGGTAAAAAAGAGAAAAAAAAAAAAAAAGGAGACTTACGGAACTACGTAAACTTAATCAGAAATGGTAATTCGATGCATCTTAATAGAATGCACCAAAAGTTTAAAGAAGACAAATTTGGTTGTGTTTGGATTGCATTTTCCATGATTTTTCATGGAAAAAATACTGTAGCGATTTGATGTATGTGAGGGAAAAATGTAATAGATAAATTTGATCACGAAAAACAACGTAATTTTCCGACGAAAAACTGCAATTCAAACAAGGCCACATCATCCATTTTTATTGTCGCGATACAGGAATGCACTAAAACAGCGCAATTCCTGGTAGCAATCTTCGTCAATAGAATAATAATAGGATTTTAAGAACCATGGTGTCCAAGTATATATTCTTCTAAAATACAAAGCTCGTTAATTGATTTTTTTAGGTTTTGTTTCTGTTTGTTCCTCTGCGCTTCTCAAAACTAGTAGTCATACGCGGACCGAAAAATGGAGTTTAATCAAATTTCTAAAATAGCAGTAGATATTCCTTTATCAGCAGTTAATATCTGGCCGACATAATTGAAAATCGGCCAAACATGGGACAAATTATATCTGGCAATGCTCCAACCAGTGCTTCACCATCCATGTCCTCACAAAGAAGTTGGATAGAGCATTCTTCCGAGTTTTAAAATTTTCTAGAAGAAGAGTAGCCGTTCAAATTGGTGGTCTTGTGAGTTGTGGGGTCTTGTGGCTGATGGGATTCCACATTTTTCATATCATTTGCAACATGAATGCTGGCGGTTCTGCGCAATTAACCATCATGATATCGGGTTTGTTTGGATTGTGTTTTATTTCCCCAATTTTATCTGCTTACATCATCATTACAATTTTCAATACACCTTTTTATTTTTCTAATTATCTTTTTATCTCACACATATCACATCACAAAAAGTGCTACAATAAAAATATTCCAAATAAAACACAATCCAAACAAACTGATAATGGATGTGATTACAATTGTGTTTGGATTGGGTCATTATGTACAAATTCTCTTTCACCCTTCTAACGGGACAAGGGTGAGATTTAAGAAATCGAAAAGGAAAATGACGATTTTTATTTATCCTTATGTATAAATGTTATTCGATTCATGATATAAATGTATTTTTTAATTTTCTTTTATGTTTATCGTCGCCTTTATTTTTTTTTATATGACATACATCATATTATATAAAATAAAAAGCTACTCTACAGTGTTTTTTCTAAATAATTTCTATCCAAAAACATACTAGATGGACAAAAAAGGATGGGAGGGATAATTCTCATGAGTAAACTATTTCAGCCATCTTTGAATACACGAATTCACTCGTAACGCGTGATAATTGTAAATTTCTTCGGGGATTAGTTGAAGTGCTTCGTAATGGTTACATTATTATTATCTTTTAAGCTAAATTCAATTGAAGGGAAGACGAGACTTTCAACCCATTGCCCAGGCCATGTTAGCCATGCGCCCATTTAGGCATGTATTTCATAAGAGATGTGCAAGACAAAACCTTTTCATTTTTTCCTTGGGTTTGTTCAGCCAATAATAATATATGTTAGAAAAACCAAAGCTTTGGTTAAACTCCGGGACCACTATCCAAACGTTCAAGGCAATAATTAAAGAAAAAGAATCTAGGGTCCACTTAAATTGTTTATTTTTTGAGTAGTAATCTAAAATTTTATTAATTATTTTTATTAAAATATTGTTGTTTGTACAAATTTATTTATATTTTTCAAAGCAATCCCTTTGCCCCTTTCCCCTGCTACCGATCTCCACTATTGAACGTATTATTATTATATTTTTTTTTTGTATTTTCGAGTGTTATTCTAGATAGTATATTAAATAAAGTTTATTTTTGTTGAAACAAACCATATTAACAGATTTTTATTCTTTGTTTGCAAGGAAAAAAATGGAAAAGTGAAGAAAAGTTAATTATTTTGTCCTTTATATACGTTTAATTAGGAGGTAAAGTTGAAAAATTTTGTTGCAGGGTCTTACATTTTCATGTATTTTGTATCTTGCAAAATTTGCATAATTTTAAAGCAAAATAGTTAGTTCAATAAAAGAATTTGCTCCTAACTATTACTAACTTTCTAATTTCCCTTGAAATTTTTATGGATGACTAAATGCATAATGACAAATAAATTTTGTTTTCTTTACCTTGCTTTCGGATGCTTCACTTTCTCGCAAAAACTTTCCATCTATTCAAGTGACAACAAAAAATTAGACCCATGTAACCTTCGAGGTTCTTGTAAACCATAAAATATCAATTACTGTGCAGTACATTTTTCTTTATTGTACAAAGTTGACTTTGAATGGTTAAAAGCACAAAATTTCAATCTCAGTTCTTATTTTCATTCCTTAGTCTTGCTGATTATATGCAAGCACAAAACTGCTGAAAATGTTTGTTCCTTGAGTCCGACGTAGGATTGTACTAATTTCAAGACGCAATTCGCATCAAATTAAAATTAGCCTCGGGAACTCATATAGCGAATTCGTAATTAAAAAAAAAAAAAAAAGTCTCTCATACACCAATTTTCTTGGTATCGTTTAGTCGTAAAACCACGTGTCCCAGAACGAGTGGTACGCAAACCACCGCCACCACCACGCGATCACGTATGACCGCACGAGATGCATGAGGGCATTTTCTGCCCATTATTCTTCAGTACAATGAGACAGAAAAGAGCATTTCTGAAAGAAAAAAAAAATAAAAAAGAAGACAGAAAAGGGCATTTCTGATATTCAACAACTTGAAAAAAAAATTGAAAGAGAGTAATCATAGTACTTAGCATACTTCTACTGCTGCTAAATAGTTGTCAAAATTGCGATGCAGATCGTAGGATCCTACGATCCGGATAATCAAAATCGATCCGGATCGTATTCAGAGTCGCAAATCATATTAATCTATGTAGAATCGCGTAGGATCGTAGTAGGATCGCTTAGGATAGTACGATCTTACAATTTTTTGTAAATTTGTGAAATACGAGACTCCATTTTGCAAGTAAATGAAAATATTTGTGATATATTTGTAAGGGGAAATGATCGATTCCATCATTCACATTTCACAAAAATATTCTTTTCGTCCCTCACTTTTAAAATGAAGCAATTTCATCATTGACATTTAAAAACTAAAATTATTACATCCCTGAACCCAAATTTCAATCTGAATCAAACCACCAATCAACCTGATTATAAATTTTGGGAGTGTAATTGGTAGATCACTTGGTTAACTCAACTTGATATTCATGTAAAATTTAATAAATCTAAAAATAAAAAAAAAATTATAATATAAAAAAGAAAGATTAATTTTTTCTACATTATCATTGTATACACTGACGGTTTTATATACCGCCATATCATTTTAATTTTAATTTAAACACCAAATTTTATATTTATGATACACATATAGATTCGCAAGCGGATATACTAATGGTGCAAGAAAAGATTTATAAAAAAAAAACTCTACTATTTCAAGACAAAGAATGGCCTTTTATGTTATAATTTTTTTTTGGGTTAATAAATGTCATGTGAATACGATGAAGTTGACCGAATGATCTATCAATTCTATTTTTGAAATTTATTAATAGGTTATTAGATGGTTTGACTCAGATTGAAAATTAAGTTCAGGAATGTAATAGCTTTAATTTTTAAATGTTAGGGACGAATTTGCTTCATTTTAAAAGTGAGGGACGAAAAGAATATTTTTGTAAAATGTGAGGGATGAAACATGTCATTTTCCCTATTTGTAATTTATCAAAGAATTACAGCCTTTAATTGCAATTAGGAGCTTTTGGTAGAATCCTACTATCCGATTCCGTGAAACTAATATCGATCCTACGTAGGATCCCGATTTTACAAACCTTGTGCTAAAATCCAAATAGAAAAAAAAACAATTTTTTAATTTTTAACCCAAAAAAAATCCATGCATTAATTAGTCAATCTAAAAATTATAAACAAAACAAACCCATCACCCGGTCCAGTCCCGAGGCAAGCAGGCAGGATTGAAATTTGGAAGTCTTCGTCTTGCAGTTCCTCCTTCGTCCTCCCCCTTCCCTTTCCCTTTCATTAATTTCATTTAACCATGGTTAAGATGTGTTAGGTGGGTTTGACCAGTCTGGTTTGGCAGGCTGTTTAATTTTTTTTTTAATTTTCTTTTATTTTCCCCATTGCTTGTCTCTCGCTTGCGTTGGTTGTCCATATAAAGTCAGCTCCCTTTCTCATTTCCCACATTATTAGATAGTAGTAATTTGGACGGGCAGTTCTCGCCAAACCTCACCAATTTTCACCAACCCCCCTAAAGCAATCTGACCTGCGAGAAAATTTAGCAAAAGCAGCTTGATTTTTTCAGCTAAGCATTCAAAATTTTGATATATTCGTCGATTTAACTCCTACCCAGTTGAGAAAATTCCAGTTTCGGTGGGGAAAACTCAAGTTTTCCTCACTTTTGTAGCATTTCTTGAACTGGGTCTGCCTGGCCGGCGAAAAAGTTGGAATTTTTTTCTTTTAAAGTTAGTTTTAGCTTCCACCCAGTCGAGAGGAGATGGATTCTAGCCCAGAGAAGTTGTCACCTTTCGATTTGATGGCTGCGATCTTTAATGGAGCTAAATTTGACGGGTCTAATTCGTCGGAGTCCGGTGGTCCGTTGCCGCCGGCGGTGGTGGCGATGCTGATGGAGAATAGACAGTTGATGATGATACTGACGACCTCGGTTGCTGTGCTGATCGGATGCGTTGTTGCATTGGTCTGGCGGCGGTCGTCGGCCTCTACCAAGAAAGTGGCGGAGCCGCCGAAACTTATTATGACAAAATCCGTGGAGGAGCCGGAGGAAATTGATGATGGAAGGACAAAAGTTACCATCTTTTTTGGAACCCAGACTGGTACAGCTGAAGGCTTTGCTAAGGTGTGTTGTCACCTGAAAAATCCACCTTATTATTTTATGAACTCCATTTGATTTGATTCTCCGGAATATTCAAAAATAAGGGCAAAAAGAAGAAATAGAGTGTCATAATCAAATCAATTCTGATGCCTAGACAAAAATTTGGATGGACAAAATTGGCCTGCTGAATATGTCAAATTTGGTTAGTTGGGATAAACTTCCCGTAGGAATTTGTGAATTGCGAAGGGTAATTTGGTCATCTCAATTGTATAAAAAAAGTAGAAGTGGGAATGCTCTGCCTTTTTCTTTAGTTTGGGTAATTGAATCGTTGATCCCTTTTTTAGGCACTTGCCGACGAAGCTAAAGCTAGATATGAAAAGGCTGTTTTCAAAGTAACTGATTTGGTAAGCTATTCTTCTGTTTCCTTCCTTCATTTATTTTTCTTACCTCATGTTCTTTCTGGTGGCAAGCTTTTACTGCCATGTTTCTGTGTTTGACATGATATTGGCTTCGTCTAAATGACTGAGTGGCTGATGCTTGATAGGATGATTATGCTGCTGATGATGAGGAATACGAGGAGAAGTTGAAAAAAGAGACTTTGGCTTTTTTCTTCTTGGCCACGTGAGTTATAGTAATTGGTTGTTACTGATCACTGCCGAACTGCCTCTTTATTGCTTAAATATATCACCTTTTTGGGAGAGGCTTTTTTTTTTTTCACATTTTACTAATTGAGTATGGTTGATTTCAGATATGGAGATGGCGAGCCAACTGACAATGCGGCGAGATTCTACAAATGGTTTGCCGAGGTAAGAAAAAGGGGAAAAAAAGAAAAATTAGATTGTTGAGATGTATATATGCTCATTTTCTACACTTAGTGCTATTTTGGAAACTGAGTTGGGATATGATCTTCCCGTTGATCTTTTAAAATGTGGTTGTGCGCAGGGAAAAGAAAGAGGGGACTGGCTTAAGAACCTTAGTTATGGAGTTTTTGGTCTTGGCAACAGACAATACGAGCATTTCAACAAGGTCTGGACTGGTTCTCTATATCCCTGCTCTGTGAAGGACTTGTATTGTGCACTTATGTTGTATATAATCTTTTACTGACGGTTATCTATCTTTGATAACTTGGGAACAGATTGCAAAAGTGGTTGATGATCTTTGTGTTGAGCAAGGTAATTTATATTCTATGGACTTACACTTTTGAGTAATGTAATGGGGGATGTTGGGACTGCTGTTATGATCCTTGAATAGGGAGAGTTTAACCCATTGACTGCCATGAACTTTTGATGATTCCAGTTGTGCTTTTGTGCTCCGTATCTTACCATTGTGTAAATGGTATAGAAATTAAAATCCTGGCCACGCCATCCTATTTTCTGCTACAGTATTCGCTGCACTGTGTGTTAAGTTGAAGATTAGGCTGTTAAAAATGCTGCTCTTTACATGTACGACCACAGAATGTATGACGAGAGAGCATGGCTGTTCGCCGCTTTTTTTCAGTGAACTTTGCATGTTGTGTCAAATATGTCTTTGTTTTCCTCTCTGTTACAACTAATTGTGATAGTCCGTTCTTTACTTTTCAAAACATTAATCATGTCAGGAATTTTCCACCTCCATAATTTCCTCTCCTTACAACTTTGCAGGTGCTAAGAGGCTTGTTCCTGTTGGTCTTGGAGATGATGACCAGTGCATTGAAGATGACTTTGCTGCATGGTATGACTGTACAAAGAATCTGCATGAACACAAAATTCAGTATATCATGCCTTGCATTTGTGCTCGTACAAACTTAAACCATGTTTCTTAATTTTGCTTATCCAGGCGTGAAAATGTGTGGCCTGAGTTGGATAAACTACTAAGGGATGGTGATGAAGCATCTGTTGCTACTCCTTACACTGCTGCTATTTTGGAATATCGGGTTGTGTTCCACGACAGATCAGATTCACCAGTTTTAGATGATAGAGCAAATGGACACGCTAATGGTCATGCTGTTATTGATGCACAGCATCCTTGCAGGTATAGATAGTGCTTCCAAGATCTTTTGAAGATGAAAAATAAAAAAGGAGTAGGCTTGTATGACGTTACCAAAATCATGCTTTTCTTGTCACAATCTAATATATCTGCATTTCGTGGTTGAAGATCTAATATTGCTGTAAGGAAGGAACTTCATACTCCTGCTTCTGATCGTTCATGCACACATCTGGAGTTTGACATTTCTTGCACTGGAATTAAGTGAGTTGATATTTCCTTTGCAACTTAGCTTCTGTTTTCATGTTTCTGAAGTTCCTAGACAGCTGTTACATTGACCATTGCAGCAATAAGGCTATTATTCTCTATTTCTGTGCTAGTGTTGTTCACTGATGTGTCTGTTGTATCTAGGTACGAAACTGGAGATCATGTTGGTGTGTATTGTGAAAATCTAAGTGAAACTGTGGAGGAGGCTGAAAGGTTACTGAATTTGCTGCCAGAGACGTACTTCTCCATTCACACTGATAAAGAAGATGGCACACCACTTGGTGGAAGCTCCTTGCCACCTCCCTTCCCACCCTGTACATTACGAACTGCTCTGACTAAATATGCTGATCTTTTAGGTTCTCCTAAGAAGGTATGTCAATAATCATGTTAATATCTTGGGCATTTGAGAGTCACATTGAACTATGATGTGTTAATGCTCAATCCCATGCTATGCAGTCCGCTTTGCTAGCTCTGGCAGCTTATGCATCTGATCCTAGTGAGGCTGATCAGTTAAGGCATCTTGCATCCCCAACTGGAAAGGTATCAACCTGTTTCCTAGTAACTTTTATTCCCAATGTGATTTTAATTGCTCCTCATGGAGATACATCATATCATTTTCCAGGATGAATATGCACAATGGGTTGTTGCAAACCAGAGAAGCCTCCTCGAGGTGATGGCTGAATTTCCATCAGCAAAACCTCCACTTGGAGTTTTCTTTGCTGCAGTTGCCCCACGTTTGCAGCCTAGATTCTATTCTATATCTTCCTCGCCAAGGTATGCTGGGTTATTTTTCTACTCACAATTGCAGCATCACGTATTGGTGAATTTGTATTAGAAAGGCTGTCACTCGTAAATGTGGTTGGAACTTCTTTCTTGTCCTTGGTGGACTTTGTAAATTGCCACATCTCCTTTCGTCATACGTCTAATTTCTTTCTGTACCTTTCTCCAATGGTACTGAAGCTAATTTAAATCAGTTTCCACTTAAGCATTGTAAATGGGAATCATCCTTGAAGAGTTAATTACCTTCTTGAGTTGCTTTTTATTCTTATTTTTATTTTTGTTTTATTTAAAAAATGGATGGTCTGATGGCCTCATTGTTTACATGATTGTCATGCAGGATGGCACCCTCTAGAATTCATGTCACTTGTGCTCTTGTTTATGATAAAACACCAACAGGAAGAATCCACAAGGGTGTATGTTCAACATGGATGAAGGTATTGGTTATTTTAGTTTAGCATTTTTGAAATTTCGGGCCCTTCTTCTTGCATATAAGAGTGTGTTATGTTTATGTGATTTGGAGATAATTTCATATAGCTGAAATATCGAGCGCGCTAAAAGTATAATTTTTGGCATTGTTTTGTCTTTGGCACGTATTTTTCAATCGTTGTAGCTTTGCATTCTTCTCACTTCTCAATTGCCCTATTTGTTTGCCCAGAATTCCATTCCTTCGGAGGACAGTTATGACTGCAGCTGGGCTCCTATTTTCGTCAGGACATCTAACTTCAGACTTCCTTCTGATCCTAAAGTACCCGTTATAATGATCGGCCCTGGTACTGGTTTGGCTCCTTTTAGAGGTTTCCTTCAGGTTCGTCTCAAAGCACCTAATGTTTCATGTACCTAGTTGGTATATAGCACTGTCAAGTTTAACACATGGTGTATTTGAATTGTATTTCAGGAAAGATTAGCTCTGAAGGAAGAAGGAACTGAACTTGGTCCTGCAGTCTTCTTTTTTGGATGCAGGAATCGCCAAATGGTCGGTGACTCATTTATTGAATTGCTACAATATCTGAAACTGTATTTACATGGTTTCCTTGTATACCAGTTTCTAAGTTTTCTGACTTTTATCACCAATCTTGCAGGACTACATCTATGAAGATGAGTTAAACCACTTTGCTAAAAGTGGTGCACTCTCTGAGCTAATTGTTGCCTTCTCCCGCGAGGGGCCCACTAAGCAATATGTACAACATAAAATGGCAGAGAAGGTAGTAGAAGAGTGTTGCATGCTACATACTGTGTTTTTCAGATTTTGTGTGTTTAGAGAGTTTTTGAGTACTATTTTTGAGATGTTAATCCTAAATTTTCATTGGGTGTTGTAGGCTTCCGATATCTGGAGCATGCTTTCTGAGGGAGCCTATGTGTACGTCTGTGGTGATGCCAAAGGCATGGCCAGGGATGTCCACCGAACTCTCCATACCATTGTGCAAGAACAGGTATCTTAACAGGATTAGCTGCTATTATTTGGTTGATACTTTTGGCTGGAGTATTCCTTCCTACCTACCACCTATTTGGTGAATCTTGCACTAATGCACCCACCAACCATTTGTGACTCCCATATGGCTGGAAAACCGATCACAACTTCTTTTTCCACGTGTTGGCATGCATTTGTGGTCGTGGAGGCTCCTGAAACTTTGAAAAGAAGAGACATCAATTATGTAGTAATGTCAAATGACATTTTCTTGAGATTGTGCCCCGCCTACAAAGTTGGGCCTCCCCTTCCCCACTTAAAATAAATGAAAAAGCTAAACTAATAACAGAACGCATGACGGATGCCCTTCATGTATTTGACTGTAAAGTGCATGTTTTTCCATTTTAAAGCAGGAGGCATAAGGATTATAAGCTGACCCCTACAACCATGTCAAAAGTTCAGTGTGACACAAAGCTAACGCGTCTGCCGATTTTTTTTGTTTCAGGGATCTATGGACAGCTCCAAGGCTGAGAGCTTTGTAAAGAATCTGCAAATGAGCGGAAGATACTTGCGCGATGTATGGTGATCAGCCCCTAAAAGATAGTAGGGAAAATGACAAAAAAAGATCGCGATGCTTTTATAGGTTATTAAGGGGAGGCATTGTGCAAAAGGTATCCCCGCCTTCCTCCGCCAGCGTGAAAATGGAAGTGTCCTTGTCGTGTTATTGTATTAATTCTTCTTTTGCTTTTGGAGGATTTTTTGGTTCATGTAAGTTATAAATACAGTAGTAATACATGCCATATTTATGTTGAACATATATATATACATATATATATATGTGCCAATAATGGTTGGTAGCAACTTTTTAGAGGCAGGCATAGCTGCCGGAAACTGGGGAGTCTGTATTATTACTAATGAGACAGGGAGATGGTTTTGACCGACCCACCGACATGGATTGATTTTGAACTCGTATATATTTAAAGTTTTTATTTCCAGTGTTAAACGTATTTTGTCAAGTCAGTCTTCTCTACCGTACTTTTCTTTCTTGAATCTGCTATTCTTCCTCTGCAAAGGTAAACAACTAAAGTATGAAGGCGAAGTTATTGGTTTGTCCCTATGGAGCATACTTCAGAAAATGTCTGGGAGGAAAAGAGAGGACGAGGACATTGCAGTTTCTGTAGCAACTAGCAAGGCACATGTTTGTCTTTGGACATGACTTGGTACTGAGGAATTTGGTTGGGACCAATAATAGACACTATTCGTAATTTCGAACCACCAAAAAAAAATAATAATAATAAAGGGATGCTATTAATAAATGGAAATAACTATGGGAGTCGGTAATGAAAAGAACAGATGAGCCCAGCTGTCAACTATTGCGTGAATCGCTGGCTACTTAATATGTCGAATGCATGAGAAAATTAACACCATCATGCACGATTTGCTTTTGCAGAATGTGTTTTTTGGACAGTCATTGGCTAAAAAATGATGGGTGCCACATTTTGGGACAACCCCCAGTTGAGTTATTTCTCCCATCCGCCAGGAATTGATAGTTGGTAGTAATTGACTTGGGAGTTCATGACGCTCAATCGTCCATTTAATTGAGTAGGCCTATTTAAGTCTTGTCAAATTCTAGACATCATCATATAGAAGATGCAGTAATCTTCCAAAAAAGGAACAGAAATGATTGAGGACGAAAAATGAAGTATGCGTTTCAGCTTGGCCTGTTAATCAACATCCTTACCAGTAGAATCACCTTTTTGCCTTTTTTTGGAGAGGAGGTTGGGGGGTCACGTAATCATCACAGTATGGAAACTCGAGCTTTAGCCACACAAGATAAGTAATATACTAAGCAAAAAGTTAAATTTCCATTCCTAAGTAACTTAAATTTGTTGTGTTTTAAGGCTCAATACCAAAATATCTCCTTACTTCAATAGCACGTTGCCTCCCTTATTCACGAAACATGCAAATTGCCCTCTCTAAATTATGAAAAGACAGTCATGCCTTTATACTTTTTTTTTTTTTCAGTTTTAACCTTTTGGCAATAAAAAACTAAATTTGTTTATTAAAATTTAACCTTTTGGTTCCAAAATTATTTTTTTTTAAACAGAGAACTGTTATATTAATAAGGGTAAAGTCTCATGAATGATTAATTAAGATGCCCAAAACATCTTATAGTTTCTTTTGTTAAAAAATAGCTGATTGTAATTTTAATCTTAACAAAATTTGTTCCTGCTTTCTCATACTCAAAACTCAAGTAAAATCATGAAACTTAGATTTAAGCTTTAGTTGGGAAATGTTTCTTTCAGTTTTTCCTTGAAAAAGAACTATTTTTGGCATCTAACTGTATCATTCATGAGACTTTACCCTTACTAATACAACAATTTTTCATAAAAGAATAAAAATAACATAATTTTGGAGCCAAAAAGTTAAATTTGGTGTACAAATTTAGTTTTTTAGTGCCAAAAGTTTAAAACAGTTAAAGAAATAAGTATATGAGGGTATGACTGTCTTTTCATAATTTAGAGGGGGCAATTTATGTGATTTGTGAACATTAGGGTAATTCACTGCTGAAATAACATTACAAGGGCACATTTTGGAATTAAGCTTTGTTTTACCTACCCAAAAAGATCCTTGATCAAAGACAGCACGTGACTTTAAGATAAAGGCCAGATGTCAGTGAAGTCCTTATGCGGTTAAAGGCCGAATTTATGTTGGGCCGCACAAATATGAGTCTGGTTGCGATCCTTCCTTGCTTGAGGGTTACTACAAACACACAAAAAATTCTAGTTGTTAATCTTTCTTAGCGAGAAATCTTATCCTGGTCAGACTAACTATTTAGTGAAATAAAATTGTGGAGTCCATTAATTCTACATAAATTAAAATTTAATAAAATAATAAGGTCCTTATTTATCTAATTAGTAATTTCTGGTTTGTCAAATACCAACTATCATGCTTGTCAAGTAGTTTGTATGGACCAAGATAAAATTTCTTTTTTGTTGGTTGAGATTTAAGTAAACCACGCAAGTGTATATAAACTAAGAATAGATATATGTAAAATTTACAAATAAGGTAAAAAAATAACGTCAAATTTGAGAGGTTAAGGGAGTAATTTAATCATTTTCAAAAACAATTAACAGTTAATAAATATTTATAACTTTCAAAACAATAGCGTTATAACTTCACCATTTTTTTTAAAAAAAAAACTTCACCATTATAATAACAAGCCATAGCCCTAGAGCTAGAGGTAATGCCTATAAGTTGTTCAATCACCACAATAATCTATGATACCATTTCCCTATTAGCAAGCACGAGCAAATTGGAGCAAGCCCGTTAGAGAAATAACCAGCCAAATGACCCTTGAACAAGCACAAGGAAATTGGAACAAGAAGCTCATCGTAAAGCTACTTCCCTGTTCATGGCTTCACTGGAAGCCTCCTATTTTCTTGATTCCTAAATTCCTGAATGCGGCATTTCGTCATGTGAGATTTTCTAGCATCTTTTCGTTCGGTTTTTCTTCCCCCTATCGTACGATATACCACCAAATAGAGAGGCTAAATCGATGGTTTTCATTGCCTGATGTCCATACTTGGGATTGTAGCTCATTAACCATGCACGTTTTCGTTAATTTTCCTCTCAGCGACCGTTATGCTGATAATGGCTCAGTTATTATTATAGATGCCCACATGTTAAAGTTGTTCACCAGCGCTTGGTACGTACGGCAACTAGAGTGCAATTTGTGCCATACTCTTTTGCATCGAGTATGCCAATATATAGCCATGGCACATAACTTTTCCGATCTATTCATTTGCCCAAATGAAATTTAGTGAGCTAACTGCTGTTGTACTAATTAGAAATGATTTAATCCACAAAATAAAGAGGCAAAACTTCATTAGTTCTATTTTCTGATTTGAAGAAATAAAATGTCATCATAGGAAAAGATCGAGAGAGGTACTAGCCTAAGAGCCTCTATGAGAGTCCAGTGTTTTTCTAGAGCTGTGCTGCATGTAAAAATCTTAGAAGGCACTAGACTTGAACTTCATCAAATTAAGTGCTTCAACTGAAAAGCTGTCTCAATATATAATTGACATATATTATCATAATGAAGTTGCTGATAAGCGAGTAGTTCCTTTGTTTTGTCAGTTTTTCATCACACAAAAGTTTCAAACACATAATCAAATATTAACTGCGTACGTACAATGTTATTAATTAGGCACCCTGGTGCCTAGGAGAAGTTTGCCAAACGCCTGACACGGCCGCACAAGTTAATTGATTACCTGCCAAATCATATTTAAGGAGCTGCCCGAAGTTGCAAGTTCTAAAGTTAAATACAGGTCCCAAGCTTCCTAGACCATCTCCTCCTCTAGTTGAGTACAACCTATTAAGTTTCCTACAAAAAAAAAAAAAGGGTCCCAATCTAATTAAATCAGTGCCATCCTACTCATACAGATTATAATTCTCAGCAACAAAGCATCAGACTGTTATTAGGACGAGGATCATAAGGTTATTGTCATTTAATTAGTGCTAGTTAATTTACTTACTAGAGAAAAGCTGAATGGTAGGGAAGGATAAGTTATTCTGCCATCTAAAATTTATGTAATTATTTAAATTCCATGTATGCTCTCGATATTCTCTTATAACAAATGCAGACCAAATGTGTATCTTAGTGTACATTCCTTCAAAAAATAAAAAAAAAATGCTCATTTTACTGTGGTGAAATGTAAACTTACATGCATGCAGGAGTTCCTCAATTAAAGATTGTCTTTCTCATTTAATCCAATTTTTAGTTGACTAAATGATTGTCGTACTCCCCGCATTCAGATCCAATTGAAAGACAAATTAAAACGACTCTTCATTTAGCCATTTTATGCTTTTCTCCTAAATTGTTAAATTGACAAGAGCCCTAAAATATATTGGACGTCCATGCTGCTTGCTGGACAATTATGGGTTCAAATGGCAATAATTATGACCCATAAACGTCCATCATATATTAAAGCAAACGACAAGGTAGAATACCTTCAAGGAAGAAAAAAAATGAAGTTAAAAAGAGAGAAGTGGTTTTGCTCCAAAATCACATAATAAGCTAGGACATGGATGTCCCCGACCGTCAAGGAGTCAAACTAGCGAACCCTTCGCCGACTGCAGCGCGGTCGTCTCCAGAGTCCATGCAGCTCCAATTTACAAGACTTTTCCCCCATTTATATAAGTTTTGTAAGAAGTTTTTGATGCGTTAAACCACACTTTGTTTATGTTCAAACTTCCCCATCTTGCTTTTTCTTGACGCATTATACAAATTTACAGTCACATTCCCAATACAATATTACTCGAGGACATGCGTGCCTCAGCGTACCTGATGCAATATGTCTCTATATTTATGTGTCATAAGGAAATAGTCAAGATGAAAAAGGGACAACCCCCGACCTCTTTTTCACTCACAAGCAAACATCCCCTTGCTTTCTCTCATACCACAAAGTCTAGTGATCAAGTGGCAAAAATTTTCTAACAATTGCAAGGTTTGAGTTCGATCTTCTGTACAAAATCAGTTGCGCCATATAGGAAACTGTACAAAATCAGCTATGATACTAATAAAAGAGGATAAGTATAGCTAGTTCTGAGCTCTGATTTTAAAATATGAGGGAGGCCTAGACGTCCACACTAATGATGCTTTCAATTCCTCGGCCCCGGATCCTATAAGCGGCCAACTGTAACAATTTATGATTCTTAGCTACCAGAAGAGTAGAAAACTTCATACGGAGCTGGACATACAAACACATAACTACATCGTACTTATAAAATGTTTGCCTAAAATCTTTTACAAGATCCAATCAGATCAGGGTCTGAAAATCTAGTTGATACTTGCATCATAGCTGTCTTCATAATGTATTTTACACATGTCGTTGTGGAAGACTTGAATCAGATTTCCAGTGAATTGATTTCACAGCCAATTAATAGCAACAGCTTCGAAATTTGAAATGCGTAGCTAGAGTTTAGGGCGGTTTCAGACAC